AGATACCTTCTCCAAGTCTGTCACCTAGCATGCACCTATTCTGCAACTCATGCCACCTCTTATTCGCCAACGGGGATGGCGACACCTTTCATTTTTGTACTCTTTCACCAAGTTCAATGGTGTCTCCCTTCATGTCCAATTATATTACATGCATGCCAAAGATGCCTTCTCCAAGGCTGCCACGTAGCCTGCACCTACACTGCAAGAGTGACACTTATCATGCATGCATGCACCCACCTACCACCTCACTTACTCTATGAAAAAATTGTGCCTATAAATACAGAGCATTACATACTTCTCTCGCATCCACAATCGTCTCACTCTCTGCTACAAACTCTTTCATAATCTCTTACAATTTCAAACTCTTTCATAATCTCATGCATTTTCAACAATGTCTCTTCTCACAATGGGCGATTCTCACAGAGGCACAAGGGATAACATTTCAGCATTTGTAAGTTTCTTTTATAGTTATACATTTTTCATACTTCTAGTAATGCTTTGTTCATCTTACTTACTCTTACACCTTTTACATTATTAACTTAGGATACCAAAAGATTCAGAATTCGGTCACACAACTACCTTGCTCCCGACACATTGATCGTACCATATCTGGAATACACAAGTTTTGGAAACGTTATAAAGATCTCCAACTGCACAATTGATTCAAAGTTCATACTTGCAATGTTGGAAAGGTGGAGACCAGAGACCCATACATTTCACCTACTAATAGGTGAATGTACCGTCACACTAAAGGACGTGTACATGTTATTGGGTCTCCCTGTCGATGGTAAGGCGGTTAACGGGTCGGTTCAACAACCCAATTCTCTGTGTGAAGAATTATTGGGCAGTGATATGGTTGAAGTTGGTGGTGCGAGAGGTCAGGGTATACTACTAACTGAGCTAAAAATCATTATGCGACTCTGGAATTGAATGAAAATTCCTCCGAGCTAGCCAAGGTAATAAAAGCTAGAACTTATATAATGATACTATTTGGAACCTTTTTATTTCCCGAAAGTACGGGAAATAGTGTAAATTTTATGTATTTAAATTTACTTAGAGACTTCGAAAAAACTAGAAAGTATAGTTGGGGTTCTGCTGTTTTAGCTCACCTATACAGTTCCTTGTGTAAAAATACAATCAAGAAAAAATGTACATTTTATGGCTGCGCTTTTTTACTTCAAGCCTGGGGTTGGTGGAGGATGGAGTCCCTAAACCCCGTCAACAACAACACATTCATTTTCCCATACGCAACAAAGTAAGTCATCAAGTTATATCATTTATTACTATTCATCTCTTCACCAAATATATGATAAGAATAAAATATTATTCATTTCCTTTAGGTATTGCATGATGAGTATGGATTACGGCAAGAATCCAAGATTCAATGTCGCGCTATACCGCAATCTATTGGATCACCTTGGCCTGGATGATGTACGTCGTACCTTTCAACTTTTCTACTTTTAAATTATTTATATATTACATTTTCATTAACCTGATTTAATTTTATCTGCAGTTTGTCTGGAGACCATATTTGGGTTTGGGCCATGAACCAAACCCCGAGGATGCAGCAATTTGGAGTGCAAAGACTGCAATCATACGGTTCAATATTATGGAGATGCACCACAGCGACCGTGTGAAGATGCAGTTTGGAATGCATCAAGAGATACCCAGAGATCCGACTTTTTTGTCCCCGTGGCATCTCAAAAGGGTCGACGCCCAATGGGGTCTTACCAACTGGAAAGACTTTGCTCCAGAATGGTGTAAGATGTGGCAGAGGCGTCACTGACATGTCTTGCAATTCTAAATTTTCCTCAACCATCGTAACATGCGACACACTGATCAGTATTTATCTTGGTACAGATCGGTTAGTACCCCTGAAATGCACGTGTCTCATCCAAGTTATTTGGTTGACCCACAAACACAATGGGCACAACCCTCATTTCCCCAAGAACAAACCCAACACACATCAACCTCCCACCAACCCCCCAGACGAAACAGAACCACAAGCACCCAACCACAGTCACCACCACAATACAATTACATCCACATGCCCCACAACCAACCACAATCACCACCTCAGTACCAATACCCCCATATGCCCCACACCCAACCGCAATTTCAATCACAATACCAACACGCCCGCATACCCCACACACAATTTCAGTCTTCTGCATATCCCAATATGGGCCCCTCAACATCCAACCTTAGCCCTGATCTAGGAATGTCCGAAGATTATGAACCAACCGACCCAACTTATCATCAACCACAATATCACCAAACCACCCAACATCCTCAATACCAAACACCCCAAGATCCATTTTCTTTCTACCCCCGTACTCAGACGACCAGTGCTATAGACCAACCATGGAACCCCACCCACCGCCAACACGACCAAACTTTGAGGGTATGGGTAACCGACTGTACCAAAGCGGGTCTTTTAGATATGGAGATATGACTGATTTCATGGATCCAGAATGCATTGAATTCGTTGGGCCATCGACCCTGCCACAGCAGGAAACGCGACGAAACCTAGCACGGGAAAGACGAGGACGGGGATGCGGAACCGGGGGTCATTACCGGGTTCCGGGGGACCACTAATTAATCTATTTTTTTCATGTAATTGTTATGTGTATAATCATATTTTGTAAATAAAAAGTCAATTTTGTTGATCCTATATCGAATACGTAACGCACCGTATTGGAAAAAAAACGCGAAAGTTTCCCTAGCAAATGCACTAAGGCGCCATCTCACTTGGCTTAGGACAAGCCCTAAGCACCTAGGCATCAAGTGAGATGGCGCCTCCCCTTGAAAAGTAAATGTAGGCGCCAAGTGAGATGGCTTCTCCCTTGGAGAGTCTCTTGAAATATAGTTATTTGCGTAATTTTTTCTGAAACATGGTTATTAACATTTTTTTTTAATATTTAGTTATTCAAAAAAAATTCTGATTGAGTATTACTTTTTAATAATTTATTATTGTGTTAGTTGTTTGCCTGCTTCAAGTTGTTTCTGATTTTCAAACTAATAAAATAATAATGTGACAAACTATTCAAAATTGATAGTATTAGTTTTATAGTAAATTAACAAACTAGTTTTGTATAGTAATAAAGCAAAACGTGACAAACTAGTGATCCTAACTTTTTGTTTTATTATTGCTATGTGTTTTATTTTGAAAAACATGTTTGTTCCTTTCAATTTATTTATTTTTTATTAAAGTTATTTGTCTTAGTTTTGTTGTCTTTGTTTATTTGTTAATTGGACAGATGACAGGCGCTAGTAGTAATAGTATGTCACTTCCTCCTCCAACAAACTCATTCCTCCTCCAACAAACCCAGATGTTAGAAATGTGAGAAATAAGAAAGTTGCAAAAAATGCTCCTGGTCAAAGAAAAGATGTGGGATGACAACATGGCACTCCTGTAAACGATGGATCAAGAAAAATCAAGTGTAATTATTGTCATAAAGAGTTTATTGGCAGTGCTTTTCGATTTAAGCATATTTAGCAGGGACAAACAGTAATGTTGAACCATGTGTATCTGTTCCTGATGAAGTTCGCAAATAAGTATTGACTATTGTTCATAGATTGCAAACCAACCTTATCAAGAATAGAACGTTAAGTGAAGATGTAGTAGAGGTTGATGTGGAAGATGGTAAAAGACAAAAAAGCTGAATCTTCAAGTCTTGCAAATATTTTCAAGATGGGGATAACTTCTCAGTGAACAATCAACAATGCTTTTAAGAAAAAAGAAAAAGAGGATACTCACCTACAAGTTGCAACTTATTTTTACAACAATGTTATCTCCTTTAACGTTGTAAAAGATGAAGAATTTATAAAGATATGTGAAATGATTGCGTAATATGGTAAAGGATATAAGCCACCATCTTATCATGACATTCAAGGTAAACCTTTAAAGAAAAAAGTTGAGTTTATAAATAGCATATTGGTGGAGCATAAAGTTACTTGGAAAAAAATTGGATGTACAATAATGACTGATGGATGGACTGACCAAAAGAGGAAGACTATCATAAATTTTTTAGTCAATAGTCCTATAAGAGCTTTCTTTTTAAAATCAATTGATGCATTTGACATTTCAAAGAAAGCTGATAAAGTTTTCAAAATGATGGATGACATTGTTGAGGAAACGGGGAAAGAAAATGTTGTTCAAATTGTAACAGACAATGCTGCAAACTACAAGTTGGCTGGACAAATATTGATGGAGAAAAGGAATAAGCTTTATTGGACATCTTGTGCAGCTTATTGAATTGATTTAATGTTAGAGGATTTTGAGAGAAATATACCTATGCATAAGGAGATTATTGCTTCGGGTAAAAAGATCACAACTTACATTTATACTAGGACATGTCTTATAACTTTGTTATCTCATTATACTGAAGGAGGTGAGTTGATAAGACACGGCATCACTCTCTTTGCAACATCATATTTGTGTCTAGGTTGCTTGAATAAGAAGAAGGGAGCTTTGTATAGGATGTTCACTTCTAAGCAATGGAAAGATAGCCAATTTGCCAAGACAAAAGATGGGAAATTTGTTGAAAATATAGTCATAAACAAGGACTTTTGAAAAAAATTGATTATCTATCTTAAGAGTGCTTTTCTATTACTTAAAGTCTTGCGTATGGTGGATTCTGATGAGAAGCCAACCATGGGCTATATCTATGAAGCAATTGATCGGGCAAAAGAGGAAATACAAACTAGCTACAATAATAAGAGAAAAAGGTATAATTTTATGAAATATCTTAGATTGATTTATTTGATATAAAAGTATATTAGTATTTATTTTAGAACTAATTTAATTTTTTCTTTCTTAAGCTACCAACCTTTATGAAAAATTATAGATAGAAGATGGGACAAACAGTTGCATAGGCCTTTGCATGCTGCATGTTATTATGTTAATCCGATGTTGCATTACAAACCTAATTTTAAAGCAGATAGTGAAGTGAAACAAGGGATGTATGCATGTTTAAAAAAGGATGATATGAGGAGACATGGAAATGGTGAATAAAAGTGATGGTCAACTTGAGAATTTTAAGAGTAAAAAGAGGTTCTTTGGGAGTGAAATAGCTCAACGTGCACTAGAAAACAAGACGTTGACTCATTGGTGGGAATCTTACTGTGATGCACACCCAGAGTTGCAAAACTTTGCAATTCGCGTGTTAAGTTTGATATGCAGTTCTTTTGGATGTAAGAGAAATTGGAGTGCTTTCGAGATGATATATTTTCAAATTATCCTATATATTTTTTATAGTTACTATATGTTATGTTATGCATTTTAATTTAATATGTTCCTTTTTTAGGTTCATATGAAGAAAAGAAATCGGTTGAAACAAAAGGCTATATGAATGATCTTGTGTATGTGATGGTAAATACAAGATTGACCAAGAATAAGGCTAAAAGGAAAAAACGAGATCTAACAATCGAGGATTTCCAAGATGGTGATGACTGTTGGTGTGTTATTGAGGAAGAAAATGCAGGTGGTAGTCGTGTAAATGTAGCTGATTTAGATGAGGATTTGATGCAAAGTATTGGTTCTAAATCAACTTCACATGTAAATGAATTTGATGTCCTTGAAACTATAGAAAGTGACAATGAAAAAGGAAATACAGACGAAGGTGATGGAGGAGATGATGATGATGATGATGGTGATGGAGGAGATGGTGATGATGATGGTGGAGATGGTGAGATTAATGAAGATGAAGGAGTTGACATTGCGGGGGATGATCTAAAATATAGGCGCATTTGTGACTTGTACTAGTCTATATAATTTTGAACATTTTATTTCATGGACTTTGTTATTTTAGGTTTAAGATTTGGGATTTTTAATTTTATGATTAAGATTTTAGACTTGATGGTTTTATATTTAATATGCAAACTTTGCACTATTTAATATATATAATATAACAAATTTGAAGTTTTTTTTTTTTAAGTAAAATCTTACGATTTTGATGACGATCTTATGTTTTACAATTTTATTATCCTCTCTCGATCTTATTATATTAATTGTGTAAGATTTTTTGATTTAAATTGCAATTTTATATTTTACAATTTTAATATCTCCTACCAGTTTTATGTAAGATCTCAATTTTGATAATATTAATTTCCAACCTTGTCTATCTAATATGCAAGTCGAATTACGTATTTTTTTTTATGTATATGTTATAAAGAAAATAGTATGTTCTATATGGGAATTACAGAAATAAAATAATAACCTTGAGTTGCGCAGATGCAACATATACGTGAGATATTTTGCAATAATTTAAAAAAGAGAACACTATAAGAAAAACTATGAGCAATATTGTTGTCACAATTCATATGTCATGCAAAATATGATAGTTGATATCAGTGGCGGATCTACAGAGGTGTGGGCAGGAGCAACTGCACCCCCTCACTTTTTTTAAAATTTATTTTTCAAATACTAAAAAGACTTCATTTTAGATTTAATAATAATAAAATAATAATAATAATAATAATAATAATAATAAAATAAATAATAATAATAATAATAATAATAATAATAATAATAATAATAATAATAATAATAATAATAATAACAACAATAATAACAATAACAACAATAATAACAATAACAATAATAACAATAATAACAATAAAAATAACAATAATAATAATAATAATAACAACAACAACAATAATAATAATAATAATAATAATAATAATAATAATAATAATAATAATAATAATAATAATAATAATAATAACAATAATAATAATAATAATAATAATAATAATAATAATAATAATTCTGGATTGGGCCCGCCTTGACCCAAGAGCAAGAACGAAGGCCCAATCCAAGCAACTCTTCAAAGAGCGCGCGCCCAAGGATTCCCGTCAGCGCGCCGACCAGAAACTGCAGTCGTGCCCGCCGTTGCCTGCGAAAACGGCGTCCTCGATCACGCGAACTTCAGCTCGAGCCCAGCTCGAGCACCCTCCTCGTAGGGCAGACTCTGACCGTTACCAAATCACCTTAACTCTGGAAAGACCGCGTCCTCGTCCCTCCTCATTTCTCGCAGAGCATCACCAGGAAGGAGACCACGTGCGGGTCCCTACTACACACGTAGAACCTGGCAGTTCCTTTATTGGGCCAGTTCTGGTCGGCCCAATGGAGGGACCTTGGCCCCGCGCTAGGGGCTATAAATACCCTCTGTTCCTAGAGGGTCAGGTATTCATTCTCTTACCCATACATACACTTTTTGCTTGCTCGTACCATCACTCACTTTAGCATCGGAGTGCCTTGCAGGTACCCCCCCCCCCCCCCATCTCACTCAACTTTTGCTCGGAGTCAGTCGTGACGGTCCAAGTCTCATCAGGTAAGATCAGTGGCGCCGTCTGTGGGAAACTAGCTTCCCCGTCTTGCGAAACCGCGAAGACCAAAGCTCGATATCACTCCCTACCATCATGGCTGACCAAGTTCGGGATGACCAAAACATCCGCGTCGCTGACACCAACAACGGCCTCGCAGATAAAAATGGACTCCCCGACAACACCGGTAACCCCGGCCATAGCACATTCCCCGGGGGCACCAACCTCGGGCCCTCAGTCCACCGCGACGGAGTTACTGCCTCATCTTCTTCAGTCTCTCCGCCGCTCGAAGAAGACAACGCACCTCCCACGAGCCACCGAGCTGCCCAATTTCAGGAAGTCCCTGTCCCCGCCGGGGCAGATGCCACAACCCGTGCACTATTCGCGGCGATCAATCAGACGAATTACCTCATATTCGCCCAGGGGGAAAGATTGAGGGCACTAGAAGACGATCAAAGACTTGCGAGGAGACACAGGAGGCCCCAAACTCCACCTCCTCGAGTAACAGAGGTACATCTCCCGTCTCCCCCGCGGAGACACTACAGAGAAACCTCCTGAAGCCCGTCACCCGGACCCTCGGGAAGACGACCCCCTTTGAAGTTGGGGGACGCGGCCACGCCCCCACACGAAACGAAAGAAGACACTCCAGAGACGGGCATGAAAGAATTAACCAACGAGCACCACGCTCGAGAGATGCCCAGCACGACCAGGACCGTCGGGCTCGACAATATTACAGGTCCCATCCCTGTCCCCGGAGCGAAGTGACGAGGACGACCCCTGCGGTCCCCTATCGCAAGCCATCATGGAGGCGCCCATTCCCTCGGGCATGGAGAAGCCTTCACATCTGAAGGAATACGACGGAGTCGCGGACCCAGTCGACCACATAGACAGGTTCGAAGCTATGCTGCACTACCACAACGTCGGGGGACCCATCAAATACCGGTTGTTCCCCACGACCCTTAGAAAGGCAGCAATGAATTGGTATAAAGGCCTCGCTCTGGGATCAATCACCTCGTGGCGAAACCTGAAGAACCAATTCATAAGTTCGTTCACTGCGTCTCGGCGACACCCAAAGACCGAGGCAGCTCTCGAGGCCATCATCCAGAGACAGGATGAAACCTTGAGAGAATTTATTAATCGCTTCAATCGCGAAGCCATACAGGTCCCCTGCACGGACCACATGAAGAGGTACCTGCTGGAGAGGGGACTCCTCCCCGGCAAGAATTTAGAAAGGCGGTGGGCATCGAACCGCCCCGAACATTTGATGCCCTCCTCGAGAAGGCCCGGACGTATATGGATTACGAGGAAAGGGAGGCGGCCAACAGAGCCCGAGACCCTAGAACTCGCGGATCCAGCAGCAACCCACGCCAAGAAGCCGCTCCTCCCCGACGAACTGGGGAGAAAAGAAAAGAAGACAGACCCCGAGAAGTTCGAGAGCAAAGAGGACCCTTGGGGCGGTTTACCGAGTACACTCCGCTCACAGCTTCCCGCGAGCACATTTTGGCGGAGTGTGCCAGCACAGACTTTAAAGACGGCGGCGTCAAACGCCCCCGACCTGCTCCCACCATGCCTGGAGCAGACAAAAGCAAGTATTTTCAGTACCACAGGAGCCATGGTCATCTGACTGAAGACTGCATCCACCTCTAGGACGCCATCGAAACCCTCATCAAGTGAGGGAGGCTCGCCCAATACCGGCGAAACGAAGCTCCTCTTCGTGATGCCCAGGAGGCAAGATAACCGGAGGAAGACGCCCGACCATCTGACGAGTCGGTTCCCGTCCAGACTGCCTTCTCTGTCACCAGACTGGAGGACTTCTACGTCCCCGAACACCTGCAGGAGCCGCTCACGATGCACAGCAGGTGGGAACACTTCCCCTCCTCCATGGTCATCAATGGTGGAGGATTCAACGACCTAACTATCAATTCGGACAAAAGAAAGCTGGATGAACTGGTCGACGCGGCACCTCCGCAAACAGTGACTTTTGAAAGAGTAAAAGGTAGGTCGGAGCCTATCACCTTTTACCTGGAAGAGCTCCCCGGAGGAGCCCCCAACGCAGTCATTCCTCTGCTGATAAGAGCAAGAATGGCTAACTTTGATGTGCACCGCATCCTCTTCGACAAAGGAAGTTCCGTTGACGTGATGTACAGTCAGTTGTTCCGGACTCTGCAACTGGACGACTCGCATCTCTCGCCATATGTAGGTTCGGACTTACAGGGCTTCAACGTCTCGACCTCCAAGCCTTGGGGATATGTTGAGCTCATGGTTACCTTCGGCGAGGGCACAACGACAAGGCAAGTCAAAGTGCGCTTCCTCGTCATCGACTGCCCGTCCCTCTACAACTGTATCCTGGGGAGACCAACACTGGCAGAACTGACCGCGGTACCCTCCACCGTCCATTTGAAGATGAAGTTCTACACCAAAAGGGCATGGGTAGCTACCATCCAGGGGGACCTAGCCGCTGCTCGAAGGTGTTTCAATGCTGCATCTAAGGGACGCGACACTGTCGACACCGGGACAAGGCCCGCCAAGAGACCGACGACGATGCGACAGGAACCCGACAAGCGAGAGCCCGCCAAAGAGGAAGACCAGAGAGCTCCACCAAAGGTTGACTCCATAGCTCTGGATGCTCGTTTCGATTAGGACGAACCTCCCAACGGAAAGCAAATTCCCCTCCGACCAATCTCGAACGGGGACTTCGAGATGGTCCCCCTTGGCGCAGACCCAAGCAACGGAGTGAAGATTGGCATCGACCTCCCCGACCTAGAAAGGAAACAGATCAAAGCCTTCTTGCGCGAGAATGCTGACCTATTCGCCTAGAGCGCCGCGGAGATGCCCGGACTCGACCCTGAGGTCGCCTGTCACCGTCTCGCCATAGATCCTGCCGCTAAGGCCGTAGTACAACGTAGGTGTAGGCAGTCTCCGAAGAAAACGGAGGCTACTGAAAAAGCTGTAAGAGACCTCTTAGAGGCGAATTTTATTTCTGAAGCCCGGTATTCAACCTGGCTGTCAAACGTTGTACTAGTTAAAAAGAATAATGGAAAATGGCAGATGTGTGTTGACTATACCGATCTCAACCGGGCATGCCCGAAGGATGCTTTCCCCTTACCAAACATAGATATGATGGTCGACAACTCGGCCGGCTACAAGACGTTGTCGTTCATGGATGCCTATTCAGGCTAAAACCAAATCCCCATGGCCATGGGCGACAAACATTGCACTGCCTTCATGACCAGCTCAGGCAATTACTACTACAACGTAATGCCCTTTGGACTAAAAAACGCAGGGGAAACTTACCAAAGTATGATGAACAGGGTGTTCCACAAGCAGATTGGAGACATGCTCGAGGTCTACATGGACGACATGATCGTCAAATCCCGAGCAGACACCGATCATGCAGCACACCTCAAGGCAGTCTTCTCCCAAGAAAGACAATGT